AAGGAAACGTAAATTATCTAGATCGGATTTCGATATCGTCTAAATAATTGTAAATCCGTTATTCCTGTGATAACTTATAAAACAGTCGTTAATACAGAGTCCTGGCGTGTCCGTACACCCTGGACAATAACTACTAACATATTTTATTTTTCCTGTTTTGTAGCATTCTCTACAACGAAGTTGTTTCTTCCTAATTTTCCCATCCTCGACCCCAAAAATTCGTGGAAAATGCTTGGTGTTGATTATTCTCGGTCCCATCAACATAGAATAGCCAGGAGACGAACTTGTGCCACAATCTCCTGTTCTTTTTCTTTTTACTTTCGATCTATTCTCGACTTTCATTTCTGTCGTTCCTTGCATTTCTGTAAAGAAGGATAACAACTCGCGGAATCGTATTAATCGTATAATTTATTTCGGTAACTTCTCCCAGTTTATTAGAGGTTTAAATTACGCGTATACTCAGCTAATTGTTGATCTATGGTTAATTAAAACAAAATAATATGTAGAAATGATGAAGGAAATACAATATGATGTGACAAAGGTATACAGAATCGATTTAAAACGTAGTTGAAGCGTTAGGTTTGATTACTGTGCTTAAACATCTTTTCGACACATTTAATTTGATTCTATGTATCAAACTTAACCTTACTAAAGTTAATTAATGTCGATGTTAAATAATGTTAGAATAATGATTTGCACGTAAATTTCTATCTTCAGTGAAGATTACTGATATGAAAATATAACGTACCACGTTATTTTCGAAACCTAGCTTTTTTCTACTATATAACAAAAAATGTTTAACACCTCTGGTGTGATTGCACACATTAACCTTTATTCTGACAACCCTACATAACTGCAGTGAAGCGTAAACGTGAACTTCTGTAGGAAGAAGTAGCTGCGATAGCGGTCCGATAGAAATGCGAGACCGGGCCTATGGTAAGTAAATGTATACCGTAGGTCATGAGACATCAATGAAAATAGTACACAGAAACTACCCCTTTCCTCACATCTCTCTCAGACCGATCTCTGTCTCAGATTTCACACTCCAGGTCCCGTTAAGATAAGAGTTCAATGATTAAACATCATGAATTGCCATGTATGCGGGAAATAATTGTCAAACGTGTATACAAACAGTCATCAAACAGTTTATCTCGGCTGTGTTACTCTTGCACACACAATGGGACAAAACTTACGCGGTTCAGAAGGAGCCAGTTAGGTTATGTTCGATCAATGATGAAGAAAGATGGCGTGTAAGCTTTTGGCATGGTCTTTGGTATGCGTCAAAGTGAAACATACTGAATAGGTTATGATACTAACACGGTGCTTGTAATATATTAAATTTGATAACTGAAGCACCGGATAAATTCCAAGTTGTATAGAATATCGGTTTAATAAATAAACGAATAATGGGAGAACACGTGATTCGTTCGTTCTACGGCCTCGGTATCTTCGTTTTTTTTCTTTATTTCATGAAAGTGTCAAGTGCTCCGAGTGCATCAACACCAAATATCATAGACATGATGACAGATGACAAGGAGTTAAGTTCTTGCAATGTGCCGAACTTTCTATATAATAATAACGTCACGAGGGATTGTCACAATGTAACATATCCCGACGATAAATCGGTCGAAGATATTCCTAAGAAAACTTTTTTATGTATGACATTTTACGATACAATATATAAAGCTTGTCAAACTAATCAGTTACGGAACCCTGTGTTTAATGACGTGACCACATTTTATACGTATATTCAGAATTTTATTCCCAAGAAGAACGAAGAAGATCAAACGAAATTTTGTGAAAATATTCGAGGCATCACGTTCACGTATAAAAAGTTAAAACCACTGTCGCTTTTCAACTTAAACAATTCCCATGTCTGCTATTCGGCGTGCTTCTCTGTGACTGAAACCTTTATTCAACTTTGTGCGATATTACCTTGGAGCAAAAGCATCGATGATAATATAATAGAAACAAGTAAAATTGAACAAAAAAAAGTACAAACCGATGGTTCGTTAGATGAGAGTAAGAAGTTGGTTACTGATGGCGAGAAGAAAGTAACTGAACAGAAACTAATAAACAAAAATGAGGCGCAAAAAAATAAATCTGCCAATGTTAAGAATACAGAAACAGCACAGGAAACACCACCAGTTAGTAATAAATCCACTGTAGAAAAATCTGCTAATGTGAGTATCAAGCAGACTACAAATAACGCTGATACTCCTCCAGTAGACAAACAAGTCCAAGAGGTTCAAAAACTTGACACAGTTAATGTTGATGATACGGAAAAAGTATCTGTGAATAAAGAGAAACCTGATGATCCTAAGAAAGTAGATGATATCAATGGGAATGTTGATAAAACGAAAATTGAAGAAACTGAAGATGTTAAAACGAGTACAATATCAGAGAATACGGAAGATCGTGAAAATTCTGCTAATCAAGATGATTGGGCTGATGGTGGTAATGGTACAAATTAATTTTGAACATAATAAAAGAAATCATATACACGCAGTACTTCCTCGCTGAATGCTCCCAGTTTATTCTCACGATCAACGAAAATTTCTATGAGCATTTAGCGAAAAAATACTGCAACATGTCTTTTATATATGTATATCTAAAATCATTGTTTTGTCATTAGATCCGAATGAGGGACTCGATCAAGCTTCCGTTACAGAAGCTGATTCGGAACAGGGTGTACCCGAGCCGTCTGAGCAACGAGACTTCACGTCTCGTTATCACTCTATAAGAACGGACGATGAGTCACATTTTTTTACTTATTTCACTATCGTGTCTCTACTTTCTGTGGCTGCCTACGTCGGTTATCATAATAAACAGAAGGTAAAGAGTTATAATCGAATTTTTAAGTTCCATTTGTATTTTATTGAAGTCGTTTTTAACTTTAATATCTCGATGTTATAGATATTGGCTATTGTGTTGGAAGGGCGTAGGTCACGCAACAACCGAGGTAGACGACGACCAAGCACTGCTAATTATCGTAAATTAGATTGTACTTTAGAAGAAGCAGTTACGTCGCAATGTAATGCAAATGTTACCCATGTTATATATTAATGCATGTAATGTACCGGGTATTTCGAACCAATTGTAAAATAGCACTCGTGTAACATATTTTATATTCAATTATACTTCCATTGTAATATGAGTTTATTTTTAATAATCTAATCGTTTGTTAGTGTTTTATTAATCGTGATCAAACTAAATTCCACTATTAACATTACCATTAATTGAGATAGCGATACTTTGCTTCTTACGATTTTATGTTTAGTTTATTTTCTAGTAAATATTGGATTTTTGAAATGTTTTCTTATCATATCACAGTAAAGTACATACATATTAATGAGAGTTAGAAATAGGAATTTAACTAATTCGTGAGTTATTACTAAGTTAATCAATATCGTAATCTCTTTTAATTAAGAATCGTATAAAACGAATATGTTTTGAAGTATATAAAAATGCTTATTTAATTCTACAGAAAACACTATTTAGCATATTCAATATAATTTGCAGTTGTTCATATGTCTTCATTTTTAAGTTCATTTCTTTCACTAAATCGTGATGACACGGATAGTGTTTGTTTCAGAATAGCAAACGATCAATGTAAATATCAAATACAGCTTATTGAAGTAATATTACTATACTGGCGAACAAGATGTTATTCGAGGAGTACTTAAATTTACGTATTAATTTTTAAGAGAGGACAAAGCCACTTTTGGTGAACATTTCTTTTCATATGTATTTATTTTCATTAATTTTTCCTGTTTCGCAACAGAAGGTGAATCGCATAATAAATAACAGTAAAATTATATGACAGATCATTACAGATAGTTCCTTCAACGACATATTGTATATTGCAGCATTAATACAACTTTTATTTTTGGTATAGACGACTGGACGTCATATCCGAAAACAGAATGTTTTCGTACATTCATCGGTCGTCGTTCACGAGATTAACTCGAAAAATGTTGGAGCAATACAATTATTGTTACTTATGTGTACATGTCTGTATTACGTAGATTTAAGTAAATCGTGCACAAAATACACATGTGTATGTTCATCCATACGTGTATGTGACATCGAGCCCAGACCATTTAAATGATCCTTCATTCTATGTACATTGATTAAAAATTATCAAATGATCGCGAATACCGTCCACTTGTACACGGATATGTTACAATAATATTGTAAGTTTCGACGTTGAATGCGTATAATAAATTTCGTACAACAAAACGCGAATGCTGTTTTCATTTTATTTACCCTTCCCAAGAATAGTGTTTATAATAAAATTCGTTAGAACGCGTTTTGTCATTTTGGACAGTAGCACGCATCTTTGGTCTGTTGTAGTATCCAATTTAAATGCGGTCCGACTCTCGTGAATACCGAGACTGCGGGACTGCGATCACATTTGTTAACATCTGAGATGATGCCTGCGATGAAGCTTTTATTATTATTTCAATATTCTAAGATATACACAGTTTCCTCTACAACTTATATGAACATATAATATTTATAATGTATGAAAATTTGGAGATTCTATTATTTTGAATATACATACCGATTAGATCATAAACACCAACGTACGAACGATATTGTACGGAAGATCCGTCGTCATTCTAAAAAGTACATTTATCTATTCAATACCTTCGTCCTTATTTAAAATGTAATCGAAAAAAGAAGTAATTTTAGTTTTAAATTAATTCTGATTTATTATTTGGACAGCCTCAGTAAATCTTTAATCGTTATAATCTCGCATTGAGGAGAATTTCAAAAATAGAAGGACAGAAAAAGTGTAACTAATAAAAAGTAACAGTAGGAATGATTTAATGTACCTCGCACACAATAGAACTTCCGCCTAGTATGCCAGCGCATCCGGAATCGTTGTGGAAATTCATAAGATTAATTCCCGACCTTATGCATTCATTGTAACCCAAAATCGGAAGGCCCAATTTTCGTGGTCGACAAGTTTGATTCTTGTTTCTGTCCTCTGTATTTCCCACTGTCCATCCAACCAGCGTTCCGACTTGCCCGAGATACGTTGAACCTAAAGATGACCTCCATTTAATAATTCTTCATATTTAATAATTACATTTGGAATAACTACACATAATATTATCATCGGACTATATTTTATAGATTATATGTATAATAAAATGCAATACCTGGATTTGGCATACAAATGGGCGATATCCTTCTGTTGAATTTAATTGTCTGACTCAATTTAATTAACGCTAAGTTATGAGCATGAGACTCCGGATTATATTCTGGGTAAAGGATTAAGGATTCGACGCTAACCGTCGTCGAGGATACGTCCAGATTGCATCGATCATATTCTCCAAGGGATACCTTTATCTCTGGTGCCGTGGCACTGCGATGAAAATAAATGATACAATATACCTATAGAGCTGAGAATTAAAATAATCGAACAAGTATTTATAAAAAATTTTTGATTATATTATTTTAATGTTCAGTTATTATTCACGTACCCGAGAAGTTGGCTCGCGGACGATAGCACGTAACGATCGTTTATCAGGACTCCGCTTAGAAGCAACTGCGATCTCACGTGAATGTTCGCAAGCCATGGGAACTCGTGCGGTATTGTATATTCTCCACCGAGGAATCGTGCTTCACCGACCCGATTTGGTCGTCCACAAACTATAAAAAGAAACAACGAAATGACGTAGAGAATATAATAATCTAATTTTCATGATACCAAAGCGATCACTCACGACAATTGCCACAAGTTTTGAATCTGCCGAATAGGAAGTCTAGAACGCCGCGCGTTTCTCTCAAATCGTCGCTCGTTTCCTAATAAAAACACGTAAAATTGTTCATCAAATATTTGAATTATTTCTGACAGGGCAAACGATAAATTCAATAAATGAGAAATCGTAACGCGACAGGAATAGGCAATCGCTTACGGAGAAGCCGGCTTCGTCGCAACGAATCGATTTCGGCGCGAAGGTGAACAGGAGACCGCAGACGAGGCATTTCAGGAAGTTTTGCGGCTTCATGGCTTTTCGCGCGACTGTCAAAACGGTACTGGGCCCCGTTCGATCAGTCGGTTTCTCTTGTATAGCGGTATTATCGTTACCCGCATCTCTTCGAGAGTCCAAAGGCTTTTTCGTCTTAAACCGATTTCTGCGCCGAGCCCAGGGACCGACGATTTTATTTTTTCTCGTTTCGTTTTCGTCCGGTCGGAAACCGGTCGCGATCTGGTACCGTTAGACGCGAAACGAAGGACCGACACGTGAATATGCGATGCGTTTGACACGTGTAGTGGCCCCATCGTTCGTATGACCCGATTCGCCTTGACATCGAATGCGAACGTGTATCGACATATCTTACCATGCTTGGAAAGCTGCATTGACACTTGACACGTGAAAGCATTGCATTCTGTACGTATACACACACACACGTTATAGTATATATAATTTTTGCATAAATTATACTAGTAGTACAATTATTTTTACCAATTACCATATTTTTAAGTAGAAAAAATAAGAAATTTCATTCATTTTTTATTAGGTTTGATCGCTCGTAGATTAAAGAAAATTGTTCGGGAGTAATAAATGTGTGATTTATAAAAAAGAGAAATATTTATTGGCTATCAAATAAAGATTGAGTATTTTAATTATATGACAATAGTTCTTAATGAGGTCTTTGAATTTCTCATATCCTTAGAAAAATAAAACTTCATTACAAATATTGCTTATACTTGAACATACAAGTTTTTTAAAATAAAAACTTTATTGAAAGTCGGCAGTAACAATTATTATATTGTTGACAATTGATTGTTAATTCTGATCACAGAAACATCCCTCACGCGAATGGTAAACTATCCAGTCTATGTATCGCGTAACTCTAGTGTAGACACCGGGATATCCTGGCCGAGCACATCCGTTTCCCCACGACACTATTCCTATCAGTTCGTATTTCTTGTCCTCCCGTTCGGTTATCAGTGGCCCACCGCTGTCTCCCTAAACAGAACAACAAGATAAGTGAAAATCTTTCGTTTCCTGAATTCAGCCAGAATCAAGAATTTCATATAAGAGGGTAAAACAATTGATAATTAAATTAAAATTAATATGTGATTATTTCTGGATTAATTTAACGAGGAAAATTTAATGAGGAAAATGTAATGAGGAAAAAAAGTTGATGTCGAAAATTTGCGTACCTGACAGGAGTCCTTCTTGCCGTCGACGTATCCAGCGCACATCATGTTATCGGATATCATACGCGGGCTGTAGCTGGTGTTGCGACACTCCTGAAGGCTCATAACTGGCACCTCGACTTCCTGCAGCAGGCAAGAAGGTTTCCCGTCCTCGTGCAAGGTTCCCCAACCGGACGCGATTGCCTTCGTCCCGATGTATTGTTTATCTGAAAACAGAAACGCGGCCCGTATATTAAAACGCGTTACGCAGACGGCGAAAGAGAGTGCGACACGCAGATTGCGATGGAATGCGAACGTGCAGCTGTCTGAAAGAGTTTCCGATCCACTTGCACTTTTCACCTAATCACTCGACACGAATGACGCAATTCGATTCCCCGTTTCTGCATTTAGTAGTACGATCCGAAACGGTACCCGTATATTGACTAATAATTCTCTGCAATTCATCAGCTAATAAATAACACGATCGTTGACTGAACCAGGTAACGATACACAGTGGAAATGATGAGCCGAAGATCATGGTAATTTTTTTAAATATAAAAAAATGTCAGAAGTGACGATATTTAAGTAATCGAACGAATTCACTCTGTACTTCAGATTTTAATTAACTATAATTATAATAGATAATAAATTCCGAATAGACGTGGGAATTATTTTAGATAAACTGTTAGGTAATATAAAATTGATTGACGGTGAGTACCTCTTACTGACGGGAGACATATGGGTCTAATGGTGTCGCTGAGTGGTACTCGTTCGTTGAGACGCAACAGCGCGATGTCATTGTCGAAATTGAGGAAGCTGAAATCGCCGGTTAACACTCTGACCACGTATCTGGTCTCGAATCCTCTCTCGACGCACCTGTCGTGTTCGCCGAACGTGACCTTGATCATGAACCACATGAACCTGAAAATGGGGCTAGGAAAGTTGATCATGCTTCTCTGGAATATCGAATACCGCAGACTCGAGATTCCGAAACGCGCGTTTTGCTTGGCCGATTATCAACTATGCCGATTCTATCCTGTGCCGCTTGAATAAATTTGCATCGTTCTATTTTCGCGTCAGTTTTTCGTGCTCCCAACCACCGAGTAAGATATTATATAATATATAATAAGAACCTTTCCCCTTTTTTTTACTTTTAATAATAAATTATATTCACTAGGAATTTTAATTAATAATTTAATAATTGGTGGATGAAGCCGTGAGATATCTTACCCTTTGACACAATGAGCTGCTGTCAAAACGTAGCGATCGTTGATTAATGTCCCGCCGCAGTAAAACTTGTTTAAATACGAAAGTCGGGCCATCCACGGGAATTCATTCATGCGAGTCGTTTGACCGCCGACTATGCGACTCTCTTCGTTTCGCACGCCGCAGCCTAATTATTCGGACACAAATACGTTAACAGTAATGATATATAATATGAGTCAATATTAGTAATTAATGTTAACCAATGGGAAGTGACAGTACATTAAAAAAGAATCGTAAAATATTAGATGCGACTAGAATTTATGTTTAGTAATGTTTAATTAAATAAATTCTTACTCACTGCAAAAACATGGCCCAGGCGCGTCCGCGCTATCCGGAGGTTTATTGCCAAAAATACCGAAGAAGTTTTTTACTTTCTCGCCAAGAGTAGATCCCTGAAATACGATAACTAAATCGTAATCTTTATAACAATTGCTTTGTGTTAAAGATTTTCTGTTTCTATTCTGAACAAAATTAATGACACTTTAGCGTTCATCGCAATTTCTGTTAATTTTATTTTGTTAGCTTATTTATTGTGTAACTTCGTAATGATAGAATCATCTTACTTGGCAAGTGTACGTTGCCAGGAAGAGGGCGAATAATCCAAGCCACCAGGAGAACTTCATTTTGATTGAATCCCGGCCGCGGCTATTATCCCTGCGATGTACCACGGCGTCACGTCTCTCTGCGCGTAGAAATGATTTCTATCGGAGGAAGGATGATACCGCCGCGCGGACACTGTCAGGAACGAGTTACGGACATGTCCCTGGGTTCTGGGAGTTGCTATCGCCAGTGTCCCACGGCGACTGAGAGGACGGCTCGGGTCGAAGAGGTAATTACTATTCCAGAAGAGAAGGAGGGCACCGACGAGACTGGTCGGCAACTGGACAGTACCTGACCAGCTCTCAAGTTCACATTCAGGGTCGAGTTACGGGTATCTGTTATTGACCGTCATCAGGGTCATCATTTATGAACGATTTTTCGACAGCTCGATCCTTCTCGTATTTCTAAAATAGAGAACAATAATTTTTTGAAAAAGTAATGGTGTAAAAAAACGATCAATAGTTCGACTTTAATGTGATCTCATATTTCCGTGAAGTATTTAGTGTAAAAGTGTTATGGTGGTATAGAAGAAACAGTGGAAAAGGAAAGAGACTATGTTGAAAATTCATTTCTATTGTGGAATAATTTTTTTGATTGAATTTTAATATTCGTGATTCTAGTTCTCTTAAAATCCAATCTAGTGTTCGTCACAAAAAATTTATTTCTCTAACAACGATAATTCCCGTTAATTTTTAGCACATTAGAAATTAGATGATATAAGAACATAGGAAAAGAAAGAGAAATCAGATTGTGCAGCAGAGGATTAAGAAACATTTTTGTTTGAGGCATTCACTTATTGTGGGTGCCAAAAAATCATCGCTTCGAATATATTATGCAAATTCCAAGGGAGAGGACTTTTACGACAGCCCGTTTCTATCTTATTATATGCAAAACTCGCGTTATGCATAAACCGGGCGCGTCGTTGACCCGTGAACGTTTTCCATTATGTTGATAATCGTATTAAAGTTAGCAAATTGCTATGTGAACTTCGAGATTCTCTCACTTCAATATCTTGGATATCTAATTTCTCTGTACATGCATTTCTGCTAATAATATGAATCTCGAGATAAACAGGTTTCGGCATAGGTCTGGTTCATCAATTTCCAACTAAATTACGATTCGTCGGTGTTTTGTCCGTGATTGTCACGTGAGGCGTGGATTTTACGATACCGCAGCAAGTATTCACTTTTATTGGTATGTTTTGAACGGGGTAATAAAAATAGCTCGTGTGTACTGTCATCCCTATAAACGAGCGTATCAAATTCTTTCAATACCTTCAGAAAAGTCGTAGTCGATTTAGCTGGAAATATTTCTCCATGAATAGAATAGATGGTTCCAAATTCTTCGGATTCCACAGTTTTGGTATAATTAAAAGATTTCCATGGAATATTGGGCTGTGATTTGAAATTTTTTTACTAGGATTCATAATAGTGCAATCAAAGTCGTAAATATTTATTAAGAGATTCATACAATATCCTGAAAATAATTTTAATTCCGATATGAAACAATTGTGTTATAAATATTTTCTGATAAACGCATTATTGAAATTAACATAGTTCGAAGCATATTGTATATACGTATAATGGATTGATACGCATGCTAGTCTACTTTTAGAAGTACCTATGCTCGTTTTAATCATTCGACAGAAAACCGTTACTGATAACTATTCCAATAACGTTCGGCCGCATTCACGCAACGAAGGTGTGACGCGAGTCGAATTATACAATAATCTTTTATACACGTAGTATTGAAAGAAAAGTTCCTGAGCGCAATATGAACAGATAATAAAGCAACATACTTTACTTATTTCTTACTAAATACTAAGTATATTTATTCCTAAATTGTATACGTTTATTAATGCCAAGTAATAATTTATGACATTTTCTGATCATCGTAAATCAGAATCCCGATTCATGAATACCATGTTTTTAAGTAAATTGTTATTTTATAATTTTATTTAATTCTACACAATTATATAATTACATAGAAAATATTTAACAATTATAAATTAATAAATAATCTAAGCTAACAAAGTTCTTTACTAAATCAGTGCTTAATAATGACTATTTTACAAATTTCTTTATACAGGTCTTAAAGTAAATAAAAGTTTCATCTTAAGTTGTGCATATACAGCCTTCTTTCATATTGGTGTTGATCCAGTTCAGGTACCTTGTCACTCTAGTGTACACTCCAGGGTAGCCTTGTCTTCCACATCCAACACCCCACGAAACTATTCCTGCGATTATAAAAAGCAACCATTAAAAATATGACAAATTATCTCCCTATTGACAATAAATAAATTGCTAGATGAACAGTGAATGCTTACCAACTATTTCGAGTTTGTCACCTTCTTGCACGAGGAGCGGTCCACCGCTGTCACCCTGGCAAGAATCCTGACTGCCTCTGCCAGCACAGATCATGTTCTCCGTGATTCGATTAGCTCGGTATTTCATCTTACGACACTGCAGTAGACTTAATATCGGTACTTGTACTTCGTGGATTTTCCCAGCCAACATACCGCCTTCCGACGTTCTTCCCCAGCCCACCACGGTCCCCTCTTTCCCGGCTGGATCAGTGCCTAAAAATATTTTATTACAATCCTTATTATCAAAAAAAAAACGTTTGTCGTGTATAAGAACTTAAAGTGCATTGATCCAATAAAGTACGATCAATTTTTATATTTAATTTTTATAATAGAATTAAATTAGAATAACTTATTTTATAGAATGTACATTAATAATTATTCTATCTCAGAATATCCTGCAATATTCGTAATTAAGTGTATCTCTGGTAACTACCGGTTCGGGGTAAGCATACGGGCTTAACCGTTTTCGAAAATTTCACGGACTTGCGAAGTCTCAACAGTGCAACGTCATGATTGTATGAGTTCATATCAAAGTTTCTGTGACGAATCACTGCGCTCACTGCTCTCATTACGGCCTTTCCATCGGTATTCACGTGTTGGTCGTAATCACCAAGCACTACACGGATTTTTGAACGCTTCAATCTGGAAAAGCAACATTAATACTTCAACTATATTTCAGTGTTAAGAACGATTTAAAGAACGTAAAAGATTTATTTATTTTACAATTTTTTATTACGTTTTAAAATTGTAAATTTTTTAGAGAAAAAGGATTCTAAAAGGTCTTATAAGGTCTCTCTAATTTTCTTAATAATGGATATTTTAATTAATTTTTTGTTATGTCTTGTCGGAAAATCCAATATTTCATGAATTTACATCACTCTTTTACTGTTCACTGCATGCATCATTGGAACAGGATGAAAATCTCTGTTTTCCTAATATACATTATTAACACAGGAAGCAGCTGAGGAAGGAAGCTTACCTACGCACACAGTGGGCAGCGGTAAGAACGTAATCATTGTTAACGAGACTCGCCCCGCAATGAAATCGTCCTTCGTAAACGAGCCTTGCCACCCAGGGATACTTGTTCGGGGACGTAGGTCGACCGCCGACGATTCGATCTTCTTGATTGGACAGGCCGCATTCTGAAAACCGATTCCTCCTTCGTTAGTGTTCCCCATTACGCGACGTGAGAGCCGGAAACGTTTAGGAACAAACGCTTTCTACGGACGACCGTGTTACATCGACTACCACGCAATCGTATATGCGTGTACGATATGTACTAACTGACACGACGTTATTACGCTGGACGTGGTCAAGTGCGAATTCCGTCACGTGACGTAATAATGGTTGGGAAAGTGATTTTTCAATAACACTTTCGTTCAGAGCGAGAAAGAGAAAGGTGCTAAAGACATATCTGGATCATGGATTTCTTTCTTCTCTCGGTGAGAACGATGCCGGTGAAACCACGTCGGGAATCTTGTCGATTTGTTTTAGAAACACAATCAAGAATCATCGAGTGGTGAAAATAAAATCGTCTGATCTAATTAAAAAAGACATTTAATCTAAACAGACGTCTAATTAAATCTAACGTAAATATCGTATGCAGAAAATAATCTTCTTAAGGAATTACGAGAGAAAT